CCTCCCCATCTCAAAAGGTTCGATAGTACCTTCGCGAGACTGAGAGTGGTGGATGAGAAAGAACCATTGGGTCTGTCTGAGTACGAGGATGCGTAGTGCGACAAGGTGCTCGACATAACGAGCATCGCCCATACTATCGTTGCAAGTGTGCCATAAATGAGGTAACCGAGAGATCTACAACCAAAGCCCTGTCGTGTGCCGCTAATCAACAACCAGATAATTATGACCGCATATAAGATGATACTTACCATAGTCGGAGTAAAATATACAACTAATACTGCAGATACAGTTGTTGCCCATTGCAAAGCTAGGGGCAGCAACGAGGCCACGAACATGCGAAAGAACATCCCTGTAGCCCAGGGGCTTTGTACCGCGTATCGCGGAAGTTTGCAGTAAGCATCGACTTCTGATGCATTGCCTCTCCTGTTGCCGAGTTCAATAAAGTTCCTCCTATTCGCGTTTGTCCATGTAGCACCAATCATGACTGGCCTGCGTATTCTGGCGTTGTTGGAGGCTATTCGAAAAGCATTGAGGACGTCTTCCGCTGACCAAGACCATGAAATGGCCCTGGCATAGTTATAGATGGGCGGAGTCAACATTTCATCAGGAGACGAAGGACTTTCCATATTGGTATCAATGGATACTGCTCGTCTTTCTGAAAGATCCGATGCCTTTACAACAACTCCATGATTAGTGGTTACAAATGCCATTGCATCCGCGTTTTCTATGGCCTTTCTAACTTGTGCATAATCGCACTTTGGGGACAGTTGCAGCCAACCTATAACGATTGGGATAAGCCACAACCACACTGATCCCGTCGCTTGACCGCTGTTGGAATGGATCTCGGAGGGAATGTCAGATAGCGAGCTGGCGACCGTCAGTAGGTAGGTGATGACAACCCATGCAATGGATGTCACAGATGCGATGGACCAGGTATGAGTGTAGTTGAGAAAATCGGCAATGGTCGGCCACCAATCATCATTCTGTGGCAAAATAACGAGAGAGCTCAGCAGCGAGTCTTCGTTTGTTATTCTCAACGGACTTTGTTGAAGGCTTATAAGGATACGGACAGCATCTTTAGTGTTAGGGAAGAATAGATCTTCGAACTGACGACTGATCCAGTTGGCATTGAGAATGGTGAGAATCATCGAGTAACCAGCGAGAACCGGTGATCCGACTGTGAGGATGGCAGACATAAGATTATCAACTCTATGTCTTGCACCGAAAGGCAGCTGAGAAATGAGTGCAAGGTAAGGTAATAACCAGGTGCCGAACTGTTGCGACATGTTTGCCCAGATGGGACTCTGTGTTCCAGAGCTGCACTGCGAGAGACACGTATGATACGTGAATCCAACTGCGTTCATAATGTCCGACGATAGGACATTTCCGCCATTGCCGTTCACCAATCCAGATGGATCGAGCCTCCCGTTCGCATGATTTCTGAAATTGATAAAGCAATCGGTAATATTGAAGTTGCTGGCATATGCCCCTTTGAGAAATGGGAGCAGCAGTAAGAAAAATCGAATTCCTGAGAAAATAGTGAGCATAAATCATTATGAGCCATCAAACTCACTATTTGTATCGCGCATGAGCAAAGTCGACTTTGATCAATGGGGTGAAGTGCACTTAAGAAGGAACTTCCTATGTGAATTTATCAGTGCGTCTTTGATAGCCGCTCAAAACTTGGAAGTGCTGAAAAGATTGTGCTCTTGGGTATTTCCTCGCCAAGAAACAGTTCTAGACCGCCATATAGAATTCTTATCTTGGCTATCCATGCCATACATGTTGTTAGTTCATGAGAACTCCCACTTGAGAGCTGCGGGAAGCTGTAGCAGGTAATAAGCTGTAATACAAGACAGACGTAATTGCTGTGCTGATGAGCAGGCATTACTTTTAGAACCCGCTTGCACAAAACGGGCGCGGGAGGGAGCACCTGCTCAATACACAATCGTTGTGCAAGCAGAAGTGCATGCGGGGGGCATCGGGGCCGGCGGCCCACTCAGGGAAAACCTCCCACGGGAATTTTGAAAATGTGACAACAATTCTCGAGAATTATGGCAAACTTTCATCAAATTTTTGTAAAAGCTTGTAAATAGTTGATAAATAGTCACATCCATAATGCAGTCAGTGAATGCACTGAAAAAGATATCTACAGGGCTCTAGTTGAACCTGCCATGAGATATGTAACTAATTACTAGTATATCAAAAATGTAGAGTTCACGCAATGCAGAACGGGGACATATTTAAACAGGTGGGAGGGAGAATTCGGAGGTGTCTGCTGCTGGCTACATAGAGCTCGCTCGAAGGGCCTTAGCCTCAGCGACAACAAGTAAATTGAGAAATTGAAAATCGAACCACCAACGATTTAATTACTAATCACAGGGCTCCCACGGTTGATTTCAATGAACTCATTCGAATATTCATGTTTCACTCTGCAACTTACACGAGCCGCGGCAACCACTTGCACACCCTGTCACGTCGTTTTCTTTATGTTTTCATTCTCCCTTACGGTTACTGTTGGGGACTCTAGGTGAGAGGCATGACCACCACAGAGCTAAGTCTCGCTCCGAGCGGGCGTCTGAATTCTGTTGTCGCATTCATCTGTGCGTGGTCATTCAAACCAGGTGTCTATGTAGGATTCCTTTTTTTCTCTTCTTTTTGGCGGTCCAACCGGCCTTCCTGATCTCTCCCAGCTACAGGCTCAATTTGGAGCATACACATAGCTCAAAACTGCATTCTGAGGGTGAGTCATGTAGTTGAATCCTGGTTTCACAGCAACCCGCTCATGCTCACTGTCAGAATCGCAAATTCCCTACTCGAGCTGCAGCTCAGGCCAGAGCCGGGCCACTGCATTCTGAGGCGCGCAGGTGAGTCATGTGGTTGATTCCTGGTTCCTCCCTACCCGCCTCCCCGTGGTCCATGGCTCTAGTGTGACGACTGAGCAGGACGAACATCCCATGGTCTTGGGCCTCACTGCTAGCCCTATGTTCGGTGGCAATCCTACTGCAGCCTTCCGGTATGGTGCTCGGATTGGAGACTACGAATATTATTGACATGCTTCCAGGAAGTTGGAAGCCAACCTCGACTGCGTTATTCATAGTCCTCGAGCCAATCGGGATGAGCTCTTGACTCATGTCCACTGTCCAATCTTCCGACATGTGTGCTATGATACACCGCAATACTCTGATCATAACTATACTTCTAAAAATTTATCAGCAGTCGATGCCATTATTACTACTATGAACATCGGATCCCGAATTCCATGGTCTCAGCTGTGGTTACTGTGGTGCATCTTTTTCTAACTGTTCAAGCACTATCTCACTGTGTTCTACCAGATTTTTTCTTCCCTACTTGATCTGAAGTTGGTTGACTTTGCATCCGCTGAGTTGAAAGCAGCATTTGCGCAAATTGATTTCAATGGGATGAGTAGGGCATTCCTGATAGCACAGGGACTTTGCGTTACACGTTTTGTCTCATTTCCTCATTTTCATATCTTGTGATTTGCGATATTCTAGTATTTAATCACATTATAATCATTTTGTTGTATTCATGTGGATTTTCATAAATTTTCACCCATCCGTAGAGGGACTTGAAATATTTTAATGTATTTTCAGAAAGTCAGAAAATTTTACAAAATTTTCGCGGGAGGTTTTCCCTGATGGGTTGTGCATCCTGGAGGTTCAACAATTTATGCCTGCAAATGATCGGTAAAAAGTGTGTATAGACCTTGTGAGAGGACTCCTCAATGACTTACTACTAGCGCTAGAGCGTTCCAAGCCTTTCAGTGAGTTGTGATGGCCCATAGGCGGACCAATGAAAGGAAAGCACACATTATCAGGGGCCGAGTCTGGTGAGATAGTTGATAATACTGACACATTGAGTAGTTACACATTCTAAAAAGAATTCAGACTGTGTCACGTTGATGTGGGTGGTGCAGCAGTGTTATGCAGTAATGATGGAAGAAGCACATGGCAATGGGCTTCGTTACGGCGCCTTTGACGCAGCTGATGAATCGAATATCTAGATCAATCATAAATGTGATAGACAATACCTGGGCCATCTCATAGTTGCTCATCAAAAGATGTTAATGACCTTAACGACCTGAGCCATACTGTGATGAACGAACTCCTGTTCACACTGATGAGGGGTCCGATCGGACACAGCCAGTGCAAGGTAGGACTCGAAGTCTTTACTGGTACGACCAAGAAGTGCCGGTAAATGCCAAGCCAATCCACGAAGGAGGTCCCGAGGATCAATGGTACTTTGTACGCTTAGCCTATTTGAAGACATAATTAGAATTGGACGCAGTTAAGTCGTATCTAGGTGGCTGTGAGGATTATGAACCATTTGTCATCTTGACTTGAAACCTCACCCGAACTCCATTCACAGTCTTCATATCCTTACCCCCATCTTTCAGACCTCTCACTCATTCCTTGATCCTCATCATGTACACCGTGTCACCACCATGCCTGATAGCTCAAAAAGCCGGTATATCAGACTTGAAGGCGAGTCCCTCCGTATCACCTTCGCATCTGTTTCATGATCCTCGCACTTTATGTACAGTCGTCGACGGAATGAATCTTCAAGTCCCTCCCGACCGCGTTCCCGCTGGCATTTAAATATCTATCAATTTCGACTCCCGGAGACGCTGGAAATCAGCCATCAGTGTCTCATCATCTGACATACCTTAGCTGATATACGTGATCTTCGGGTGTTCTCGCGTTTCCTACTCCCACTTCATACGAAGACCTGCAAGCGGCAGCACGTCAGGGTCCGGTCATCACCCCCATTGCCAGTAAGTACCCATCATTGTCCCGACGTCAAGAGAGCCCCATCATGTTCCTTTGCCATCCATTGTTCTCACAGATCTGAATATTCCCCAAGTATCGCTTCACCAGGGCCATACAACGCGCATCTTGGACGAACCCAGCGGAGCCAATGGCGGATTCAATGGTACTCTTGCGGATAACGTAGGACGAGATTATGCCCCCATCATCAACATACTCGAGCACGTCCTTGAACTCAAGCGCCACTCTCGAATCTGGCTATGTTCAACTGTAGCTTTCATGTTCATTCCTCTCCGTGCAGCTCACCCCTTTCAAACAAAGGCAGATCGTTCTGGCAAGGAGCCATGCCTTCAGGATCTCTACATCTACTCTTGCACGCCGACACTTTCAGCTCTGATCAGATCTAGACACTTGATAAAAAAGCACGTACCTCCATCCTTCATGGCGATCGGACAAGGTCAACCGGGCGCAGGGAAAAGCAAGGCGTTCTTGGCTGTTGACAGCGAGCCCGAGCTTGTCCATAAGCTCGTCCCTACGACGGCCAGCCGCACCACTATTTCTGGTGATGCAGCCACACGAGTAGGCGCACTCGAAGCTTTGCAGCAGAAAACTTGTCATGGTAAGCAGGACCACGCGCAACCTTACAATTCGCATCTTGTTATGAGAGACGAATATATGAAGCTGCTCGATATCATGGGGGAGAAAATCTTGTCGACGTGTCATACCGCTGTCGGCGACGAGAAGACGCCCAACAAAGCGACTCACCTTGCACATGGCCTCCAGTTTTCAGGGTTCAAGACTGTTGTTGGCACTCTGTGGGAGGTCGACGATACTATCGCAAAACACATTGTCAAAGCTTTCTACACGAATATGTTCAAATATTGTAGTCGTTTGGTAAATTCACAATTTATTAATTTGCAATTCTCTTCCATCCTGTTGTAAAAATGACCCTGATATATCACTGCGCTCCAGCTATCTCGTTCTTGCATACTCTATTGTGTTTTTGCCAACTACCAAAGTTTTGTGTACTTGACTCGTTTACAGCGTCGTCTTTTGTTCGGGTACTGGCTGGGCCTTGTCGAGCTGACTTACGCCTTCCTATCATATCCATCAAGTTTCAAGCATATTGTATGTTAATATATACGATGATGGGTCGTCGGCCAAATTTCATCTCCCTGCACAACAACTCGAGAAACATTTTCCTACACAATACTACTAGTTGGTACATGTACAAGTTCCAGGAAAACAATCGAATTCATGCTAGTATCGGCATCGGAGTTTGCCACAAGTTTAGCGTGGTATTTCCGAATGCTAAGGATGAGGCGTGGTCCCAGCACAAACAACTGCATGCTCAAGAAAATGTCAAAAGCACCATTGAGTATCAAACCTGCCATATAATTCGTATTCTACAGAAATGATGAGCAGTGTTTGCAAACACATGGCAATGATAGGTTGACGCACCAATAGCCCTAGTGAGAGATAAGCAAGCTGGAGGCAAGAGACACAAACGATGCTAGTACGTGCGCAACTTGAGCAGAAAAAGATGGACATATTCACATTACATGCTCACCTTGCAAAATAAAGCATGTGAGATTTTATCAGTACTCTGAAACAGTCTCTGATGGTCGATCGTGTGGATGGGCCAAGTCGACGCAGGTCACGGAAGTGTTTTAGAGCAATCCGGACTGAAAGATACAGTGTGAGAACCTCCCAAACGGTGCTGAGCATCCAAATCATCCAGATCAGAAGCTGGGCATCCCCCTGATATTTATTATAGCACATGTACGTGCCAGACAGTATCATTTCCTCTGATTTTTGTCCAATGAGTTGTGCTCTTCAATTGAACAAGTAAAGCGTACCCGTTACGGTACGTTTAAGTATTATTGCTGTGATTATTGCGCAAGCAATGTTAACAGCCATGAAGATAGCAAAAAGGATGATAAAAATCATTCTGGATCGTTGATACATGGCATGCAATCGAGCAATCATGATGACTTGTATCATGTTTCAGTCGAGTCAACTCAAATATTGCAGCTCGATAACTCACCACCCAACATGGCAGGTACAATTACATTCATCGCATTCAGTGCATAGCTCACAATGATGCCTAAAACACCCAATTAGTGATCATCCTCGTACTAATATCAAACACTCCGACTCACACCTATTGAATCATTATGTCGAGTCATGTTCAATGTTAGAATCTCACTCACCCCTACATATGAGTGTATCCGTCGGATAGGAATGAGATGGTTGCAGAATACTACTTACTGCATCCGTCAGCGAGACCGATGGCATAATTGCTGTGTGCCGCCAGTCAGAAGGATCGAACACAGCGTATATGACACATACGCAGAACATAGACACTAATTGTCAGAGATGAGCTATTAGCACGATGCCAATATCTTGGCCTCGATACATACAAAGAATATAGTATTCCAATATAGCGTATCTAGAAAATTTCGGAGTCAACACAACTGCCAACCATACTATAGCATATCACGAGGTACGAACAATCACATACAGCATGGACATGAGAGACCAACGTTGCCTCTGTCGCGAATTCATTATATTCTCCTGCCATGGAACTGTATCACTCACCCAGATCAGTTCAATCTATAACATCATTCTTAGCGAGTTGGCTGCGCCGGAGATAACATTGACCTACCTCTTGTCTGAGTGTCAGCACTGAAAATATAATAAGAATATATCAGCGGTTTCAAACACTGTCCTGCTCACCCCAATCGTATACCACTACAACGGCGGCAGCAACTGCGAAACCGCAAGTTGATGTCAAATTGAGAGACATTGCTAACAGATACGACGAACCCGTACAACAGGAATAAACCAAATTCGAATTGATCGTCGGCCACAAACTAGGATCATTCAAGACTACAGTCATATTCGAGGGATGGGTGTGAGCGAGTTGGGAATGTTGGTGGTGCGGTATGGCGATAGCGTTTATGATAGATATACCACCATTCAGGGCTTCCATCGCAAAAATCTGCATGATGAATTTGATCCCGTTTCAAGACGATCAGGTGAAGTATTGCAGTGCGAAATCAAGCAAACAGGAAGCCCTTGATAATCAATCTTGAAACACATTTGAAATTGCAAACCAGTATAGCAAATGAAGTGGTGGGAGTTGGGTATGAAGCCGAATTGTGACTTCGAGTTCCTGAAGGTGCCATATGCATTAAACTGATTGATGAAATAAATAAAACAGCTGGTATGCACCTGTATGAAACTCGTTGACTACTAAATTGTAGGCAGCGCAAACTTCAAAGACTCCTTGTCTTTGAGCCATGCTACAATGGCAATATGTTAATTTGCTCTAACGGTGCTAAGCCCGGGCCATGGTGTGCGCTGGTGTGCGGGGGCTATCATGATTCATGATGGATGGTTCAGATTTCGGGTCGGAACCGATCAAGGCTCCGAGTTGGAACGGAGCTATATATAGTTATTACATACTAGGTGCGTTGAATTCTGTGTTTCTTATGTAGTTCAATGACCACAATGCATATGTGCCAGAGCATAACTTATTATTACTGCCTCAGGTGCAACTGTTTATTTTGTCAAGTCGCTCCCCAACTCGGTACATCCAGTGAATAATGATGGTCATGATGAAACACTCACCACGACCACGGTCCGCACTGCAAGCTAAGTTTAAACTGGAACTAATTCGAATGATCTGATGATTCCTACTAGTAATATTTACACTGCCACCTTTAAGAATGGGGCTCATTCGGCTCATTCACACTGAAAGCTAAGAAGATGCATGATGTGTGTGTGAAACACATTTTTTTGACCTCTAGATGGAGTATTCGACTGCCGATATCGCAGCAGCGAGGAGCTTGCAGTTGACTAAGGTGTGTCTCCTTGTCGATATGAGGGCGAATCACAATTGACAAGTCATTTCCATCAGTACATACACAGTGCGTACTGTCTAAACCTCTTACTATTTGGTTCTAATACAATTCAGTGTCGATGGTTACATTCTGGGTAGGGTTATTCTGCTCTACTCTACTCACGTCCGCTATAAAACTCACTTATCCAGATCTATGACTACGCATGTCTACTTCACGAAGAGGTAAGACACTTCTTCCATGATACACCTCAGTTTTGATACCCACAATGTGCTGTGCAAAGTGGACATTTTTGCTTCGATCGCACTGGAACAAGATGAAAGGCCTGTATATCGTTACACGATACCTCCCCTTTATCATTCTCGCTACGGATATATATAGTGCGTTCCGCTCCGGCACACATCGCCCCAATGATGAATTAAACTTGTTTTTCAGGGGGATTTACTCCGAATGAAAACGCAGATGTATGTGATGCGATGAAGAGTAACGAGAACGAATGACTTATTGCATGATTCGGTAGAAATGCTTGGTGTTGGACAATGCCGAACTAGGTACGTGCATGGTACATTCATGTATGCACGTCCTTACCGAAGACTACTACTTTCCTCCTACAGGCCTCAATTTAGTATTAGTCATTTTCTCCGAATGTATCTCTCGTTTCCCCATACTATGTGTGCGTCTCTCATCTTGTTCATCCAGGGTTTTTCATCCTCAGAACATATGTGCTCTGGAACAACAATAGAATCTTGCTCGCAGCCATGCTCTACGCCTTTTTCGTGAGTCCCCAATCCAATCACCACACCCATACTAGTGATAGATGCATCAACCAGACTTTTATTGGGGCCTCCACCGGCCTTACCTTTGCTACTACTGCTCCCGCAACATGTACACACTCTCACCTTCTCTCTGGTGTTCCACGACCACTGAAACATTCTGTTCACTTTCACAGATCCGACTAGCGCGATCCCAGGTATTACAGGGTGCTACCAGAGTTCCACCACTTTCCGGTTCTTCATACCATTTCTTCTCTTTTCCGTGTTCGATCTGGGTGGGTTACCAGGAGCATATATGCACAAACACATCCTGACAGGTGTTCTCCTCAGTTCTCGTAACCCTCACGCTCATATGCGCCATACACAACTGGCGGGTAAACCCAAATCGTCTGTACGTTGTCCTGGTGAACCACAACATAGCATATTATGCATGCGGTCTTCGTGAGTTAACACTTGCACGCGCCGTGTTTCTGTGCTCACCCATGGCGATTCTCTTCCCCGAAGTGTTCTCGGTGGCGAACATATTCACATCATTGCTTCTCCATGTACGTGCATCCCAAATACCTTTTATGACCGAGCTGTTGATGTTCTGCCCCCAGTCCTCCATGTTGTATGAGTATGCACCTTCACGTCCTGCTGCGTATTCCTACTGACAATACTCGAAACGTACACCCACGTGCAGTTTCCAGTTTATGATCCTTGCGACCCTCGCCACGCGCATGCACCTCCATCTCTGGCAGACGAACCAACATTCACACAGCTCTAGCGCCCTAGTGCATATTCCAATGTCCGATATCTCATTTGCAAATCCCACCACAGCGTGATGTTTTATCCTGTGGCTTATTCTGTGTCGTTCGTGGGGCGAGGCTTGGACCGTACAAGATGACTGGTAGGGGTGGGTTTGGATGAGTTCGTTACATGTCTAACTTATGAGATGAGTCTGTCGCGGGGTGGGAAGTAAATTTGAATGGCCTTCGTACTCATCATCTCCACTGTACGAGGCGACGGATTCAGGACGTGTGCTAGAGCCGGAGTCAGTGATCCCTTGAGTTCTCGACATCGTGACCGTGACAACTATAGGTCGATATAATTCTGTTCCTACACATGATCATGTATACTAATACGTTGTCCCGGTGAACCATAACATAAATGGTATGAAGTTCCTAATAATATACATAGTTCCTTACATGGGGCATCAAGTATACACGTTGTAATAAATTATAGTTGAGGCCGAATTCCCTTCCTCATTCCTAGTCCCCGCTCCGTCTGAATCACCAGGAAGGGTTCAGGTAGAGTCCCCGATATCATTGGTATGATAACAATGATTTTTCTACATCTACTTCTCTCCCAAACCCACTTCGGCATACCAATCCATCAATACAACGACGAGTCTCTCATACTCCCTGCAGAGTACCCGTCACATGCTGTTCGACCTCTATGTCACACATCACTGTTAGTCGACATGTTGTGTGTGCGTTCCTGGAAAGTAATGGTATGCCGATTCCTGCGTCAGAAGTGGCCGTAACGTTATTGTTGTATTCTCGGATGTTAAGAATGAGACATGGTCCCAGAACAAACATCTGCACGAACAGGACAATTTCAAGAATGCCATAATAAATATCAACTCCCAGGGAAGTGAAGCTCTGTAAAAACAATGAGTGATCAGATACAGATATAGCTGGTTCGGCGTACAGATATTTTTGGAGAAAGTAAACCGAGGTTCAAGCAACAAGCAGCAGTAAATCTAGCACATGCAGAACCTCAGGGGGATGATAATTAGAGTTCAAAGGAAGAGCGCACATTATAAAGTAAAACATGTGTGTTTTTATCAGCGCCGTGAGACGGTCATTCATGGACCATCGTTTCATTCTACGGGAATGCCTGAAAGCAATCCAGCCTGCAAGAGACAGTCCGAGGATAGCCCATGCAGTGTAAAATACCCAAGGTAGGGCTAATAGGAGGATTCCAGACGATCCTTCGCTAGTGCACTGGTAGGTGCCGGAGAAGATGACCTCCTCTGGTATGTATCTCATCAGCCTGACGTGCATTGAGTATTTCATCACTGGGCACAGCTTACCGTACGAAAAATTCATGCCGACTATCCCAGTGACCAATCCACAGGCAATTGTGACGGTCACGAAGACTATCACCAGAAGAATGAGGATCTTTCTTGACTGGTATATGACATGCAGACGAGCTATGACGATAACTTGCATGGTACTCAGCCAAGTCAATATCACTGAGGCAGCTGAGTAGCTCACCACCCAACATGATATACACAGCGAAAGATGTCCATTCTTGTGCGAGAGCGAGAATAGCACCTGAGAAATCCGGTTACAGATGAGCATCGGAAGACTTGAACAAACCTACAGCTTTTTCGACGGTTAGAATGAACAACCCAGTCGAAAAGCTCACTTACCCCTACCGTACGAGTATAGTTAGTTATATGGAAAACAACAAATATGGGTAGAGAATACTCACCGTATCCGTCAGCAAGATTGATGGGTTAGTCGCTGTACGCGGTAGTTCAGAAGATACAAATGCGGTACATGTGAGGATACATACACAGTATGTTAAGGCTGATCGTAAGAAGTTATGGTTAGCGCAATGCGAAGTGTCAACTTGTTAGACATACACGCAAAATAGTATTCCAGCTAAACGCAGCTAGAATATCCTGAGGTCAGCACAACTCGTTAACTAAACTTGAAACATGAGCCACCTACAGTGAGATATAGGACCGTCATCAGTGACCAACGTTGTTTCTGTTTCAAATTATTTTGTATCACGTGGTTCTTCTGATAAGAGTCTACTCACCCAGACCAATTCAAACTACGAAATCGTTATCAGTGATATGAGTACTGAGATAGATAAGCCTATACCTCTTGTCCGATTGCGAGTACTAGAGCATAACATGAAGGTGTGAGACGTCAAATAAATCGCTCGCTGAGCACGAAGTTGCTCACCCCAATCATACACCACTGCAGTAGAGGCTGCAACTGCGAAACCACAGTCGAAGATCGAGTAAGACATTGCAAAAAGAATCTGACTTGTTCTCCACGAACCTACAAAATAGCTGATGACTCGATAGGAATAGATCAATGGCCACAGACTGGGATCGTTTAAGACCGCGGTCATATTCAAAGAATTGATGTCAGGGAGTGGCGAGCTTTGTGGGTATACAATGTCAACGATGGCGTTCGTGCTAGATATACCAGCATACCAGTGCTTCTATCACGAGATCATTGCATAGGAATGAATATCCTGTGCTGATGGAGTTGATTGGTCAAAGTGTCATCGAGGTAAAAAGCAGAGGTTGTGCCAAGGGTGATGTATATATAAATCAAAGTCACTGATTTCAAGATGTTGATAGTGAAAAGCGGTGTCGCGCTCTGTCTCTAATCATGATGCCATTCGGTCGAAAAATATAACAGCTCATCCAAAGTTTATTAAGATTACAATGATACAATCAATTTATCTTGAACAAGGCATCAAACAACAGACCAGAATATAACACGTCCTGATCAGATCACTCACATGAATACTCAACCCCCTTGCCTTGATATGTCCTTGGTACGTCCGCGTCACCTGCGACTTCATGGCCACCACCTCCGAGTCTGACCAAGCTGACAGCACTATGATTTGAACAAAATTAGTGCACAAACACGCTAGACTGAATCCATTCGATGTAAGCAAGAGATAAGTCTTTGAACAGCGGTACTTAGACCACCCCAATGTTATACGGTAGTGCACCGTGACCCCCGTTGATGAACTCTACCGACAGTACAGAGAAGGCTGAATTGAAAGAGCGACCACGGTCCATGGCAAGCATCAGTCCATAGTAACAGTAGTGATGGACACTGGAACAAAGATGCGATGGCGGAGATAGCATCAGCTGGGTTCTTCCTAGTAGTACCAGAAACTCTAGAATCATCATGATTAATCTGGTAGACCAACGGCGCAATTACCGTATGGAAGTGATCATTGTTTATGTAATATGCACATGGTGCAGGCGTTCTATGTGTCGTCAGCCAATTAAAATCGTTTATCGTTCAAACGTTCAGTCACTGCCACTACAAAACAAAGTTCTCAACTTCGGGGTCCCTTCTTTGTTTCCTTCGCTCGCAATCTTTTCCAAGCCATATCATATCAGGCGATGACCACACTCCCGCGTTATTGTCTGATCTTGCTGCGTAACGCTTCATATCAGACGCCACTGGATCATTTGACTATTCAACACAATTCCATATTGTGTTCGTTGCTAATGATCATTGGATACTGCACGACAGTACCACGAGGGAACCTTTTGGGACCACGTCGAGACGGACAGCGATCAAACAGGTACAGTGGTGCCGTCTTGCGGGCTTCATAGCATTAGCCGGACACGTACGTGACTGTCCCAGTGTCTCTGCGATTAACAGCGTGTTTAGAGATAGGACACGATGTCAGGTGCAATGTTCTCATTGGTGAACTACTTGGCTGTCGCATGTTTAGGAGGCTGCGAAACAATAAGACTCTGGTCTGATGAAAGTTTGATCTTCCTTGTTGAAATGCCATAAGGCGGCGGCGATCAGCCTAGCGCTCAGCCCTTGAAATACTCTTTGCAGTGTATAAAGTAAGCTTCTCTATCATTTATCCTTTTTCGTCATCAACGATGGATAAAAGGGTCACAATGGTCTGTTAGTCCCGTCTTTCTACTGTCGCATCTTATCCACTCCTAGTAACGGTGCGCTGCTCTTGTATCCTCTGGCTCAGATTTGTCTAACAACCTCCCTGCACATTTTCCTTGGCCACAGGAGATGGCACCCAAACTCATCTCATTCCCAGCCCTTGCTATCTTTCTGATTGCTTGTGGTTCGTATTTAATTGACCTTTAAATCTCCACTTGATTCAAACTCCGTTCAGTATCGCTTCTTGCGCGCGCAAGCCCAATGCCTTTCTATCCTATTCATGCTGTCGAAGATAACGCTCTTGCTGAGAATGACGTCGAGGTACGCAGGATTGTTCTTATATCGTGCATTGTTAAATGACAAGTAATGCACGAACTAGTCTTAACAAATACGGATCATTATCGTTATGTCTCATACGATACGATCCGTCGTGTGTTTCGCCTACTATCACGTGGGCATTCTGAGTTTTCATTGTTATGCGGTCTGATAGTGAACTTTGCTGTGAAATTTTGAACAACAATCTTTTTAGCCGTAGTGGTCAGTGTTATCCTGTGCCTTTCTTTTACCACCATACGATATGTTAATTTTTGTCTACGCTTTAACTTCCGCTTTCATAATAGCATCTTGTCAGTTCATCCCTACAAGGAATATACCGTGACATGATCATTGCTTGACAAGATTCCATTGAAATTGGTACGTTGTACAATTGTGGGCTTCGTGGTGTTGAGAAAACGATGTGTCGCGTTTACTTGACCCGCATTACTCTAAGCTTCA